CTCCTCTCCTCTCCTCTCCTCTCCTCTCCTCTCCTCTCACACTTGCAGAGCTGACAGGAGTGTCAGGGGATAATTAGCTGTTCCCAGCTTATCCTGATCCTAAGCATCATCTGGTTTCTCATGGAAGACCGTAAGGGTATTTTTTCCCAGACCCTTCCTATGCAAAAACCCACCTGAGGGCCCAGGAAGAGTTGCCTTTACYGGCCCTCTCCTGTTTCGAGCAGCAGGGAAATAGTTACCGATGGCAGCATTTAGATCATCAACAGAAGGCTGCAGAGTTAGCACTCATTTGATAAACAGAAAAGCACACACACCTTCCAGAGCTGCTGCAAGCTGTCTGCMGGCTCTGCCGCCCAACACTGCAACGGTGGAACACCCCTTGCAATTTGCTATAGTGTAAAGATTTGAGGTGGGTTTTTAGAAAGGGGAGGTGTTGGCTTTTTTTTTTTGGTGCTTTTGCTTATTTGCTTGCTTTTTAAATAAAAAAATAAGGCCAAATTTAGAAGACGAAGATGAGGTTCCTCAAATGCAACCCAGGCTGCAAGAGGAAATAATCTGCAGGAAGGGCAACACTGCTCACAGCCCCTTTTGGAGTAAGATCCTGCCTGTATCCTGTGCTCAGGATGTGATGAGGACAAACACTGGGACCTGCTGATGGAGCAGCTTTTTATCAAGATAATGAAGAGGGTCTGAAGACTGGAAAGCCAGCCCTTGGTTGTGTCACCCAGCCCTGGGGATGGAGGGCACCTGGCCATGCCCCATGCCTGCCCTGGCACAGGGCTCCTCCCCGCTGGCACAGGCACTGCCAGCGCTGGCAAGGGAGAGCTCTCCCTGCCTGCACATGGCAGGGGGCCCAGGGAAAATAGGTCAAGAGCTCCCTCCCTTCACCTCCCCGTGTCCACACATCCTGCCGCAGCACTGAGACMGACTGACTCGCTTCCACCTGCCCCCTGGCCTCAACCAGCACTTCTCTTCCTCACACCTAGCTTTTAAGCGACTGAAGAGATGATTGCACCTCACTGCTGGGCAATGAGGCACCAAATCAGGCTCCAAGGACCCAGACTCTGAAACCTCCAAATCCTCAAGGGCTTTGGAGTGACTTCCCCTGCTCATTTTAGTACTGCCTGGCAGCAATAAGTTGTTTTAGCTTCAGRGAGGCATCTCTGAAATGAAGTGACCCCATCTGCCATGGGAACACTGATTCTCTGTGTACCTGCAATGGATGTGCTAGGCAAAATACACCAAGATGTGAAATTGTGAGCAGTGACCTAAGCTGGCATGGGTGATGCCCTTTAGCACCCTCCTTATCCTTCAAGAGATACTTTTACTACTGGAGGCATTTTATAGTGGGTTATTTGGGTTTTTACCCCCTGGRGGTGCTGGGCTCTGCTCAAGCCCCAAGCTGAGCCCCAGCCATCCCAGTGCTGCAGCTCGTACCTTATGGTGCCACATGCTCCTGGGGATGGAAGTGGGTGGACAGGGACATTGAAATGCAGAACAGACTTCTTGATAAACAGTCAGGGCCAAATCCAGCCCAGCAGATAGTTCAATGCAATCAATGGAGCTAGAACAGGAAGGAACTAGACTACATCCATCTGTTTATCATTAAGGAAAGCATTGAATAGTTAAGTAATTAAAGACTGGAAGATGTGACTTTAACCCTTCCAAATACGTACTGTACCAACGGGTTTCAGCTTTTGGGTTTGTTAAAAAAACATGTTTCCAGATTTTTGGCATTTTGATGTTCACAGCAAGTTCCTGGTGTGGCTCCTCTGCTGACCTGGCAAACTGTGAAGGTTTTGGGGGGTGTTTTTTGTGAAGCCTGAGGAATCCAGCACCCCGCAGAAGGAAAAGATGGAGCAGGTCTGTTTCTCTCCTGATATACATGAAGTAGAAGGCAAGAGAGTTTCCAGGCTGGGTGCTGAGAGGTGTTGCTCACCCTGCTCCTCCAGGCACCCACGTGGAGGCACACACCAGRTCACAGCCAGACATCGCAGCCACAGCCTGGTGGTCCTTCTGACCCCTCCAGGACAGTCACTGTCAGCAAGTGCTGCTGAGGTTGGATGGATGGGATCAGTGACTGCCACTGCCAGGGTGATGCTGGAGCCTGTCTGGGGTACAGAGCACCCCCTGAATGCAGCCAAACCCACCCCAGGGCTGCAAGGAGGAAGCTCCCATCCAGCACAGCAAGAAGGAGCGGCAGCCAAGGGGCAGGGAGAAGGGATGGACAGCGATATGGAGGTGGAGAGAGAGAGTGGGATATGAAGTTAATGAGCTGGAGCAGAAGGAGGCAGCCAGGAGGGCAGCAAAGTGGAGTGCACTGCAGTGGAATGAGGTAGTCGCTGGCCCCGCATGAGGGCTCCCTGCTGCTGGCTTCTGCAGGGCTCAGGGACCTGCCTGCGGTGACAGAGTCTGTCCTTGGCCCTTGGGCTCACCTCTCACTGCCCTTGGGCCCACAGGCAGGGAGGAGGGACTGGCATTAATTAATTAAAGCACACAGTCAGGGTGGGAGAGGTCAGGCCAGGCAGCCCTGCTCAGCCAGCCCAGTGCAGCTCAGATGTGTGCACACCACAGGCTGTGGCCTGAGATCTGCAGATTTTACAAGGGAGATTCAACCCCAAAAGCCACCTGCAGCCTTCTACCATGACTCCAAAGACAAACCCAGCCCAGCTCTGAGTCCTGGTGCTGCCTGACTCCTGTGGAAGGCAGCTGAAGTTTGGTGCTCCTGAAGTGAACCAGATGCAAAGCCCTGGCAAGCTGTTAACTGGGCTCCTTTGGGCAAAAAAATGGGAAATACCCCACAAGCACGGAACCAGTGCTGCTGGCCAGAAACCCATGCTGGCCACCCTCCTCCCTTCATCCCCCAGCAGGAATGATTTACAAATGCTCYGGGGATGGATGCAGCACCACGCAAACCCTGCAACAAAGCGAGGAGGATTATCTTTATACTGCTCCAGGAGTGCCAAATGCACTGTGGCTGCAAACAYTCACCAAGCACTGCTCAGCTGCTGGCAGCCTTCACTGGGAGGGGAGCAGCATCTGATGGGTTCTGCTGCCCTGAGGAATGGTGGGTGTGATGCCAGCAAGCACCCAGAGAGCCCTGCCTCCCTCCTGAAGGGCCAGGGCTACCAAAGGAGGCTGAGGCACTGCAGAAAGGTAAGAKATGCCCCAGCAGAGCCTCCCAGCCTCCCTGCATGGGATGCAGAGGAAATGGCTGTGTGATCAGTCCTGAACACAGCCAGCCCAGAACCAGCTCCTTTCTGAAGCCTTTTGCCCTGTACCTCCCTGTGCTGGAGYCCCCAGCATCGCTTGCTGCTGGCCTTGGTTCTGAGCAGYGTCCCCCAGCCCCAGCAGGGGAKGAGCTGCGGGGATGTGGTGTGGGTATCAGGCTCCTCTGCTGCCTTACCAGGGCCTCCTTGAGCTGGAAAAGTCTTTCCTGCATTGCTGAGCAGGGAAAATGCACCACTTGATCAAAGGAAGCCAAAYGAAACCGGGAGACTTACAGAGAGCCCTTGTTCCAGCGAGTCTGGRTTCACGATAATGGGAGCGGGGTTGGCCTGTGAGGAGACAAAAGGGGGATGTCACCAAGCTGAGCAATGAACCCAGCCCTTTGTGGTGCACTCTGGCCACACCATCACWGACCCTCCAGGCCAGGCAGTGGAGAGCAATTCAGGAAAGGCTCTGCTTGTCCCTCCTCCAGGTGTCCAGCAGCACTGGGACAGGAGCAGGGCCCCTCCTCAGAGCTGGTGTGTCCCAAACACCCCATGGCCTTGGCTGCTGGGAAGGAGACAAGGAAGGCTRGAAATCCTCCCAGATGTGTGTCAGGCTCCCACCAGCACCAAAATTTACCTGAAATTCACATTAGTGAGGGGTTAGGAGATAGGAAGAGTAGGGAAAAAAGCCCTTATGAGGAGGAATATGAGCAGACTAGGCCTTCAAGCACCTTCCAAGAGTCTCTTCTAAGCAGAGCCACCATGCCCTGGGAGAGGTGACAGCATTTGGTCCCTTCTCCTCATTACCCCGGGGTAAACCCTCTGCTCGGCAGCCTCGGCTCATCCTCCACAGCTCCTCGACCATCATCCTGTCCTGAAGGGCTCCCCACGACCCTCTCTCCGGGTGCCTCCTCCTGGACTGCCCTCCGCCCCTCGGCTCGCTGCACATGGCACAGCACAGTGCAGAGGGCAGCTCGGGCACACCGGCAGGGAGGCAGGGACGGAGGAAAGGGGGCGGCTCTAACAGGAGAAAAGGACGGGGGAAGATGCAGCGCCGGCGG